ATGAAAAAATTACAAGATTATAGTTATCTGATAAAAGTAATTTATTATAGTTTAACTAAATTAGTACACTACTATATTTCAGGCCAACCGACAAATTTCGGGGACACACGAATGCTACAAATCGTGCATATAGCCGAGATCTCCAGAATCACCAACAATAAAGTTACTTACGTTCTTCAATAACAGTGGAATGTCCATTGTCGATCATAATATTCTCTGTACTGACAGAATACTGGATAGGTTAGGTACCCTGTCAACAAACAACCAAGTTGACATTTGGACACATACGATGGTGGTACCTGCGCTAGAGGATACCGTCAGGTTGTATAACTTTGGTAAAAACAAATCTGGCCCAGATGTCATTCATAGAAGATGCCTCAAAAAACTCCCAGAGAGTATTATCTCGCTGCTTACACACATAATCAATGCATGTGCCCAGTTGAACTAATTTCCTACCTTTTGAAAAATAGCCAAACCAGGGAAACCCCCAACCAGCACTAAATTTTACACACCTATCTCACTACTTAGTACCCTAGTTAAAGTCTACGAGAGAACCCTAAAGGAAAGACTCGTAGAATTTCTAGATGCACATCTTCTCATCTCCAACTTCCAATTTGGATTCAGAGCTGAACACTGCGCACAAAATGCATTGATTGAAGCAGCAACCCTCATATCAAAAGCTCTCAATGATAGGCATATATAGCAATAGATACATTATAAGCATCTTCCCTGATGTCCAAAAGGCCTTTGATCAGGTTTGGAACACAGGCCTGATCGAAAAGCTCCACAGTACTGGACTGCCTACCCTATTTCTTAAAATTATCCACTCATATCTCTCCAATCGGACAATCTGTGTCAATGTCACTAACATGCTATCAAACAATTCTCTCTACAAGCTTTAGTTTCCCAAGACTCAATTATAGCACCAATATTATACACAGTCTACAACATTCCCACACGTTGACTAGATTAGAGTCAATATTATTATTTGCTGACGATACTGCACTTCTCTCTGCAAAACACGTAGAGGGACGATGAGGCAGCCGTCTATATTCGATAGAGCACAGGACCAGTTGAACAGAATTGTCAGGTTAACTTTATTTAAATCCTCTCACAGCTGTGATGCTGGGAATAATCAGATAGTTCTCTAAGGAGAAGCTCTTGATTATAGAATCTTAGTGTCCTACTTGGGAGTTCATTTTGGTAGGACTCTTAACTTCTGAGACTTCTAGCTTGACTAGCTTAACTTCTGGGAGCGGTGTCTGGAAAACTTCCTTGCATACCTACAAGACTTTTATGAGGCCTATCATCGACAATACAAGGCGTGTGTCTACGCGTCACAAAATCCTAGTCAAACCAACGCAATTATGGCAACTGAGAGGAAAATTCTCAGAAAATGCTTGAGAAAACGTGCAGATTATCCTTTTCTAAGGATAATCCTTTCCTAAGCTTTTACACTTTGCTGGCAACAAACTTTCTGATCAGTACTGCGATATCCTCGAAGCAACTTTCCTCAAATACCACTAATAAATTAACAGCACACAAAAAAGCTCATTCAGAGCCGTTCTTAGTATGTCTGGTAACACAGGAAATACCTTCTGTGCATGGCTTGGTTAAGTGGTCTAAATTTTCCCTCAGAGCGCTCTTTTTCTATACAACCACCATCTTTGCCCCCGCTCTATAGCTGCATACCACTCCAAAATAATGGACACGCAACTAACGTTGCTCGAACCCTCAAAAGCTCCCACAAAAAAAGGGAGCAGCTCTCTTTGAAGAAGCTCAAGCTTGGACAATGTTATAACGTTTATATTCTGAGGAAGATCATCAGTAACTGGTAGGAGGTTACTACGATCGCTGCCTTACAATGGTTGCCGCAGTTGCAGTTGCAGATAAAACATCAAAAATAAACAATGATGGACCTATAAGCCCCAAATACTGTGTATGATTACAAAACACCGGCCCCGAAATTAATACAATTCATACACTGTATTTCAATCTATTAATCTGCTTCCAAAAAACGTACATGTTATATTGGAGTTGGGATTTTAGTTTTAGGTTCTTTTTCTTTCTTGGCTCTACAACTCTGAGTCTGGAGAGCAGTTTACTGTTTTCCTCTACTTTTGCCGGTCTTGTGCAGCAATCCCCTATTGTTGCACCCCCATCTTACGTAGAGTACTGGCTACCGCATTTTTCGATCTTTTTCTTGGGCGATCAACTGACCTTCTGCCATCAAGTCCTTCCTAGTAGATTGTATTAGTAGTATTTTATCATTCCATCTCAGTACGTGTCGTTTCCAACTTATAATACGATTTGCCTTGATATATCGTAGTATGTTTTCTTCTCCATTGGATCCTTGGAGTTGCTCGTTGTGTCTTTATTTCCACTTTCGTGTTATTTCGTCTCTACAATGCTCAAAGTTTGTTCGGAAGATCTTCCACTCTAATACTAATAATTTTGTTATTTTACGCTGGTTTGGTGTCCACGTCTCACTTCCATGCGAATTACAGTTTTATATATCTTTGTTTTCTATCTTTAAGAGCAATTTTGATTTAAGTAGCATCGCTAAGAAATCACAAGCTTTATTTCTTGTCATGATTCTAGCTACTTATCTTTTTCATAACTATTTTCGGCTGTTACTACTGACCCAAGTATTTGAATTCTTTGACAACATGAACATTGTATTTATTTATTGAAATTGCCGAAAATCGTTTTGTCTAATTCTTAGTTTTGGATTTTTGGTATCTACCATGTCCTTGGTCTTACCTTTGTTGACATTAAGACTTATTTTTCTGGTCCCGTTTTTAAAAAGCGTAATAACTTCTTTCTACAGAACACTGATTAGACCCGTAGTAACCTATGGATGTGAAACTTAGGTAATGACGAAAAAAGATGAAGCCCAACTCAGGACATTCGAGAGAAAAATACTGAGGAAAGTATATGGACCGGTACAAGAGGAAGATGGCACATGGAGAATCAGGAGAAACGATGAGGTTAATGAGTTAAATGAAGGTTATGACATTGTAAGATTTGTGAAAAGTCAAAGACTGTCATGGCTGGGACATGTGCAGAGACAAAACGATGTAAAAACAACAAAGAAAATGTTACAATGGAAGCCCATAGGAAGGCGAAAAAAAGGAAGGCCCAGAACGAGACGGTTGGATGACGTGGAAGACGACCTGAAAACAATTAACATAAGACAATGGAGAAGAAGGGCACAAGAGAGATCTGAATGGAAGGACATAGCCAGACAGGCAAAGACCCATCCAGGGTTATGATGCCAAAAGAAGAAGAAGAATAACTTCTTTCGCAACTCTGGTGGATTATGCAAATGTGTCGACATCGTCAAAAAGCTAACAGTACCTGCGCTTCCTGTACAGCGAAGTAATTTTGTTAGGTCTGGATGTACTTTCCGAACTGCGTGTTCTAAGTACTGACTGCTAATTGCTGCATATCCCTGCATATCTGGTATAGTCTTACCAGCTTTCTGGGTACTTCCATTTCTACCATTCCAGTAATTTCCGTAACAGTAAATTCCTGTTTACAAAGGCAAAAGCTTGTTAAAAATCTAGAAAAATTTGACATACATATTTTTTATATTCCCAATTCTTTTCTAAAATTTGGCGGAATATAAAGATCTGGTCCAAAATTTTTAGTCTTTCTATAATAACCAAGAGTCCCTTTTAAGGTTATTTTTGGTAGGTCTTGTGCCATTATTTCCAAGTATCTCACTCCCATTTACTCCGGATCCTCTCTGATTAAATCTTTCCACATTTTTTTAGGCCGTCCTACTGCATGATCTTCCCCCATCTGGTCTTTCCCAAAATATATGGTTTCTATGGCGATTATCATTACTACATATCACACTTCTTGCTCATCTTAGTCTATTAACCTATTTATATCTAATAAGATTTCTCTTTCCAAAAAAAAATTATAACTCGTTTTGCTTGTGCGTCCATACGTTTGTCACGCTATCTCTACAAGAGCCATATTACTCGAAGGGTTTTATGTTCCCACACCAGAAATTTATTTACTTTTGCAGCTTTTTATTAGTGTCCATGTTTCGTTTGCATACGTGACTGCAGCCCTACTTTATCATGCTCACCAAAAATAGAAATTTCAATATTTTTCACTATATATTTTTAACTCTTGTGCGCATTTGACTGTTTATTTAAATTTTACTTATTTTATTTAAAGTTACCTTCATTTAAAGTAAATTTTGACATTTGACATAAAAATATTGACGTTTTGGCTAAAATTTTGGTGTTCTTTAACATCTTAATGATGTGTGAAGATGTACATAGAATTATTAACTCAAAGGTAAACTTTGTTAAAAATGTATTTGAATTTTTTTCATTATTTTATTGCCATAATTTTTAATTTGTTCAAATGTCGTTAATTAACATTCATGTCACTATTTACTTATTAATATTTTAGGTAAGATATATTTATAAAATCCATTAAAAACACTTAAAGCTTGTATGTACAACACTGGCTTAATTAATTTTTTACCTTAATAGAACAGATGCAGAAAAAAATTGTGTGGAAAACGAAATTCATCTTTACAATAAAAATGTGTTTTCTATATACTCATTACGATTATCGAAAGTAAAAAAATAATGCTATAATACACATATTATAAGACAATCATTTTTAAATAGTACTTTGAGCAAAGGTAAAGAAGAGGTCTGAACTGACTCAGAAATATTTCAAGACAAAAACTTATTGTTGCAAAACTAATAATGACTTGATGGTGTGAGTATACTTAGGACAAAGGTTAGTAAAATTGGTCTCACAGTAATTAACATTGCATTGTTCTAACTTACAGAATTTCTTGTTTGTAAAACAGTCGAAAATAGTCTTGATAAAAAGTGAACGATCACAATTTTGAGATTGTGATCTCACCCAGCAAACACACTTTAGTTGTTGGAAGCACTCTTCAATGAAATCCAGTTTTTAGAAACGACATACAGGCATATATTATTAATAAAACATTTTTTTTTGGAGATTCACTTGTCTACATCTATAAACATTCGAGCCAGTCGCGGGTGGTGATAATTTTATACATGGGAATACAAAAAAATAAATAGGTACTTACCAAAAACCTACGTCTCAAAATGACACCCAATCCATCATATAATTGTACTATCATAGTTGCATTTTCATATATATTATGTATTAGTCGCCTATATCTCGAATCTATTCTACAATTATTATTAGCTTGTTCTATGGCCCACATCTTGATGGTATCAAAAGCCTTTTCATAGTCGACGAAGGCAAGAAATACGGGTAGTTGGTATTCATTTGCCTTCTCTATCAATGTTCTCATTGTCAGCAGATGGTCTGATGTACTATATCCTTTTGAAAGCCAGTCTGTTCAAGCGGTGGGTAATTGTCCATTTTGTAGGTCAACTGGTTGTTAATAATTTTCATAAATAGTTTGTATACTTGACTAAGCAACGATATAGGTGTATAATTCTGTAGGTCACATTTGTCCCCTTTTTTGTGTAAGAGTATTACTAGACTCTCGTTCCAGTCTTTGGGGATCTTGCTATTATGGAGACATCTATTAAATAGCTCTGTTAGTACAGGGATTGTTAATGTCTTGCTTGTTTTCAAGAGCTCGGCAATTATACCGTCGTGTCCTGGAGCTTTATTATTTTTTAGCTCTTTTAAAGCTTTTTCTATTTCGAATCCCTTTATATTCTTCTTCTTTTGACGTTCTTCTTTGTTGTTTCATTAGGCTGGCTTTGCGAGCTGTACAAGGATGTGTAGAAGTCTTCGACAGTATTTGTTGTTTTATATTTGTCCTTCTCCTCCTTATTGTTGGCGTCTTTAATTTTGATGATTTTCTGAACTCCCAGTGCGGGTCTTAGACATTTTAAGCCTCTGCTGATTTCAATGACTCGCTCTATTAAGTTCTCGTTCCATTTTTGTCTGTCGCGTTCTAGTTTTTTTCAAATTGTTTTATTAAGTTCTCTATATTCTTGGGTATGGCGTTTGTTTTGCGCTAGTAGTTGTCTTCTTTTCGTCATTAGTTGTTTAGTTCCATTGCTTATTTTGTCTTTTTTAGTCCTTAATATTGTTCTGAAGCTATTTTCTTGTGGCATTTTAAATTTAATTACTATTTAACTGGGAATAAGCCACAATTAAAGGTTAAAATACGTTTATTGACGTTTCAGTTTCCACTTTGGAAATCGTTCTCAAAATACAAAGTTTTTTTTAGTCCTTGTTTTTTTTTGCGACCTGTAGTCCGGCTGCGAGAAGGTTTTTATTTATGTTTTTGTTAATCTCGTCAATTTGATCTTGGTTATGTGAAGGATCAGATTCGAACTTATCCGCTAAGACTTCTCGGAATTGCTCTTCATTTGTTCTTAGTTTAAAGGCATCTATCTTCGTTGTTTTTTTAAATATCCTTTTTCTCTCTTCTTTCATGTTAATATTTCTTTTTGCTCTGACAATACGATAGTCACTACCCGTTCTTACGTTGTTTATTGTTGTGACCTCTTCAAATATTCCTTTGTTGTTTGAGAGAAAATAGTCTATTTCATTTTTGGTAGTTCCCTTAGGTGCGACCCATGTCTACTTTCTATTGGGTTTCTTTTTATAGAAGTTATTCATAACATACATATTTTATTGTTCCAGGAATTCCATGAGTTGTTTTCCTCTTGTGTTTTTTGTGCCGAATCCAAAATTTCCAATCTTGCTTTCAGAGTCTTCAATCTTAATTCCAATTTTGGCGTTAAAGTCTCCCATTATTATTCTTTTGGATTCTTTGTTGTTGTCTATAGCTTTTTTAACGTCTTCGTAAAAAGTATTTATTTCCTGATTATCGGTACTGATTACATTTGCTGATATCCACAGTTTACTTTCTTGTTTGTCGAGGTAATATATTTACAACCACTTTTTCAAAACTGTCAAGTTTTAAATGCAAACGTTTTCTCCTCTGGAAGTTTTCATTTTACGTTCTTTTGATCCGTATGCTTACAACTTTTTTAAAATATATTTTTTGGCATATTTGTCAATTTCTCAAAAATTATTTGATATCTAAGTACGTTCTCTTAATCTTTCTTTTGATTTATATGTTAACAAAACAATTATGTAAACCGTATCTAAGCATAATACTTAACCCGTCGAAGTACGTTTGATCCCAGTGCTGCCTTCTGAATGCCAATCTCATCGCCTTAGCTTGGTGTCTATAGAGCAATGCATTTATAAAAGATTATAATTAATGCATACCGTTTACATGGTAACCGCTTGACCTTATCAGGCTTAATCTCCTTAATGTTTTACACTTAATTCATATTGCTCATATGTCGTATTTCTATTAATATCGTTACTCGACCATATATTTATCTAATAATCTACATCCTTATCGTTAAATATAATAAAAATTTTATAATATACTACTTATACAAACTCTTATAAATAGACAGACTTTAAATTTACGATTAATTCTTTTTGTATACATCCAAGTTTTTCAATAAAAATATTTTAAGCCAGAAAATATTTCCAAATATTTAAAATGCTTAGAAATTTTTAGATTTAAAATCATTTGTATGTCAAATTTTAGTATACAATATGATTGAGCATTTTTGTCTGATGACAAAGGATTTACATGCAATTTTATTTTAAAATTGAGCAAAACAATTAAATTTTGGTAATTTTATTGAAAAACTTGAAGTGGAGGGTGTAAATTACTTAAAAGCTTCTATAAATATCCTTTGTACATATCTCTTATCAGTGCTCTTAATAATTTTTATTTGTGTGTTTGCCGGGATAATCTAACTCAAGAGTTTTGAGAAAATGTCATTATTTAATAATTAAAGATTGTTTATCTAACACCTCTTCACTCGAGGCGTGGTTTGTAGCTAGTCTTCCAGATTTCGGCTAGGGCTACAGCTGAATGGAATCTGTGGAAAATGCAAAGTGGCAGTGTCAACCTTTGAACCATGGCCCAAGTCAAGTACCCGTAATATTTCAGTTGGACCGGATTTTCTTCTACTTTTTTCATTTCAAACGTGTAAATAATCCAGATGGTAATATTGCAAATCAATAAGAAAGTGACCACTTGACGTCCTGGTTTAGATCTGTCATGCTCGGGGAGATGAACTCGGCGACGGGATACGTCTGCGATGAAAAGCAGTTGAAGGATAACCTTAAATTTGTAAAAAGTATTTATTATAGCTGAATAGAACAAAAGAAAATAAATCAATAAAAATATTATCAATAAAAATCCAGAAAAAATTAATATTTCCAAAAATATAAACTGATTTTTAAGTAATTAGGAACTCAATGCATAGTTTCTTAATAATACGTAGGTCGCACTGCAGCCATTTGTTCATTTGTTACATTCATAATACCCATTTCAGAATTCTGAAACCTTATACCAGTCAGTTAGGTCTGATGGATAGATACCCATGTTGCTGTAGCTAAAACTTGGTAGTCTTCAAAAAGTATTTGCCACCAGCGATCTAGTGCCTTGTAATTATACAAGCTATGATTGACTGTTTTAGGTTTTTCGCCACAGTATCTCAGCTTAAGTGTCTATGAGATAGTCCCATTGTATCGAGGTGTCTCTTGACTGGCAGATGCTCAGTAAGGATACTTATTTTCCAAAGTACCTCTGTTCTCTGTTCTTTTAGCATGCGTCCAATGTACATTTTGCCTTGTGCTTGACATGGTATATTTTTCCAGTATCATTTTGTGTTCGAATCTAGGGTTTTTTTCGGATGCAAACGGTGGTTTTTGGCACCCCCATGGCCGGTGTTAAACCTAAGTATTCTGTAAGCTGGTTTTATTTGGGTAAGTTATTCAGATTTTTATTTCTGTATATTGCCTTGTGATCTGGAACCCATACCAGTTTAGTATTTTTATATTTCGTCAGTGTCTCGAGTTCCTTTTGACATTGTCATACTAGCTTAGGGTAGTAGAGCTATTCTAACGTAACTGCACTGTACTTTATACCGCAATAATCATGAATGTAAAAGTGGACATTTTTTATTGCCTAACCTAACAAAGTGTACTTACCTGTAAAACAACAAGAATTCCTGTAACCATTGCAAGTAAGTTCGCTTCCTGAGAAAAGGCATTAAGATGACCAGCGATCACGCTAAAAACTGCATACAAAAATAGTCCAAATGCTGATACTCTTAACAGAATGTCGTTTAAGTCGCTTTGTTCTTCTTTCTTAAATTTCAGAGACTTTACTCTGAAAAAATGATATTGTTTATAATTAATATGATCTTAAAAAATTTAAATATATTTTTCTTAAAATTTAACCTAATATTTGGCGAAGTAAATAATATTAGACTAGATATCATTTAAAGAAATTTAGAGTCGACATCTTCTTTGAATATAAATATAAAATTTTTAGAATGAATATAATTTTTTTAGGAAAGTACAGAATAATCAACTACTGCATTTTTATTAGAAAATAGTGTTACCATGTTTTTTGCCAGGGCTCAAAGAAGAGGCAGATGATGTTTTAGCATTGAAAAATATTGATTTTTCACGTTGAGAACCCCTATGAATAGCTCTTCTGACGAGACCTATTAGGTCGAAATACGTATCAAGAGATACATAGGATTTGTTTGCGTGAAATCAAATATTTGCTGCATTTTCTCATTTTATTCGGATTTACTCTGTGTGAGTACTAGAAGCACAATTCGCTAAGGATTTCTGCTTAGTTGTAAAAGACATGTCGTGGAATGCAAATTTTAGATTCCCTATGTCTCTTTTAACATCTTTTATCAACGTCTGTTTGCCTTGCAATTTTTAGAAGGCTCAGATTATAAAGCAGAAATCTGAATTGTGTTTCGAAACTATTTTACGATTATTTCATCAATATTTATATATTGTTCTTTCTCAATTTTGTAACTTGTGATCTGCAGCTACCTCTAAACTTTCGTTCTTTAGTATATTATTCTCAAATGACATTTTTCTTTATTAATCAGTTCCTAATGATAAACTCTCCACATAAAAATATTTTCAAATAACAATTGCTAAATGTGTTAGGACATTTGCATGATGATTATATTTTTTTAGAATTAGCTTACCTTTAAAACAAAATAATATTATTATGCATATCTAGCTCCCAAAAGAGAAAATTTAAATATAACCAATACTTACCTAATAAATCCAATCAATATGGCTATAATGCTCAACACCAACAAAGCACAATGCGATACTTCAGCCAAGTAGACTGCCAAAACTCTAAACGTATTGTTCGAAACCAATACAAAGAAGAGAATCAGGCAAATTAAAGATCCCACTAACATCAGCAATCCAAAGAAGAGGCCTTTCGAGGCTCCAACACAGTCAACCCGTCCATGTTGTTGAGCTTGTGCCAATGCAACGGCTCTACGAGATAGCATTATTTCCAGTCGATGTTCCAAATTTTCTTGGTTTACGTACCTGTAAGATATTTTTAATGAGTTAATATTTATTTTACACAAAGAGACCACGTATTAATTAAAAAATATAACTGAATACATTGTTCTATATTATTATAATTAAATATACATTTTAGTATAACAACTTTTTAAGAGAAACCAATATAATGAACTCCAAGAAATTAGGATTATTATATAAAAGTTCGTATTATCATATGAACAACACTCCTACCCCAGGCTTAATCGTGAAGTGGCGTTCTTCATCGGCAAAGAAAAATAAAAAATACGTAATAGAAAAAAACAAAATATAACGGCGGGAACCAATACAACGTGGAATATCGTTTTTCTTCTGAATATTTGTGATTTACGATCCCTGTGATAGCGATAAACTGTCTATTTATGACAACCCAGTTTAAATCAACCCAGTTCAAAAGAATTGGAAGCTCAGGCACCGCATATCCAACCCTTTGGAAACGGCTGGAAGAGGTACTAGTGTACCTCTGGGTAGCTTTTATTAGAATTTTTATTATTTTTTAAATTACCCAACTTAATAAAATTTTTATCGCCAACACTAATGTTGTATGTTGCTTACAACAGAGTTTGGGATAGGTCGAGTGCGATTTGTCTCTTTTCTGTTTCTCTTTGCGAAGTAAACCAGCGAAGAGCGCCATTCCGCGAGCTATCTTATTCCGTCTTAATCATCATTATCTTTAGCTCTACAACCCTGGGTGGGTCTTAGTCTATTCAAGAATTAGTCTCCATTCCTTCCTATATTTCACCCTGGCTTTTCATTTTCTGACCCCTAAATTCCTCAAGTCATCTTCGACTTGAGTTTTGAATCTAAATCTTGGCCTGCCTCTCTTCCTGGTTTCTACTGGCTCTTGATAGAATATCTGTCTTGATTCCGTCTTAAAACGTCCCTCATAAAGTTGGGTTGGTGGGGGAACATTAGTTTAGCAAGAATCTGTACACCGTAGATAAAAATATTTCAAACAAAAAATGTAGTTAAAATAAATTTGAAGGATAATAATAATAATTTGCACTATTTCTGTAGAATGAACGTAGAAAGTTGGGAGTCACTTTCTATTTCCCTGTAGAAGCAAATCCATCTTAAGTAAAATCTGGAAATGTGGCACACTTTAACTAAAAAATCGTGGTGTCGAAATTTTGCAAGAAAAATTTTAGTAGGTAAATTTTTATCGAAATTGGTCATTACCCTATACTCGTATTCTTTATTTGTTTAAAATTTGACCTTTATAAAGTAAATATTTAAGCCTACAGAATAAACGCCTAATTTCACTGAAGCAACAACGAACGACATGTTGGATAATACACACAGTCTGTGTTGTCTGTTTGGAGGTGTACCTATTTGTGACTCGCAATTAACACGGCCGCATGCGGAATTTGTTCCTAAGTATCACCTGCGGTTTGTCACATTAGCTTGTAGCATACATATTAGCTTGTCTTGGTTTAATTCCATTAGGAGGGCGTCGTTCCTTTGTAAACAGATATGGAGTCTACATAGTTAGTAATACATTTCAATTTTAAGAAAAACAAAAGAAGAGAAGAGAATCTAAATGATTTAAATAAATTGTTGAATCATTGGTGACGACAATGATTTATGTGCGTCAGATCAAATAAAAAACTTAAAAGCTTATACTGCAACTATTTTCTTTTTTCTTTGTTGCACTAGGAGATAATCCATTCTTTTTGAAGTAAATAATTCTTATCGCTGGGTAAGATGTTTTACACGGTTCCGAAATCATATAATCGTGAGGCGTTCGATAAAGTCCGACACAACCATCTTAGACATTTACTTAAAGATAAACACATTGACAAAAAAGACTTAAGAATAATAACTCATCTCTACTATAACCAAACATCAAAAGTCAGAGTAGGCAAAGAACTTTCGGAGAAAGTAGAGATAAAAAGAGGCGTAAGGCAAGGTTGCATGCTCTCTCCTTTATTGTTCAATCTTTACTATAACCAAACATCAAAAGCCAGAGTAGGCAAAGAACTTTCGGAGAAAGTAGAGATAAAAAGAGGCGTAAGGCAAGGTTGCATACTTTCCCCCTTATTGTTCAATCTTTATTCGAAAGAAATAATTAAAAAATCACTCTAAAATGTAACAACTGGAATAAAAGTCAACGGCAGATCCATCAACAATATCAGATATGCTGATGATACTATACTAATTGCACAGAATATACAAGATCTACAGGCACTCTTAGATAATGTAGTAAATGCTAGTGAGGAACGCGGACTAACGCTTAATGCTAATAAAACAAAATTTATGACAAGATGAGAAAAGTATTATGCAGTAGAGACGTTACTTTGCAACTCAACATAAGAATATTACGTTGATATGTGTTTTCGGTGCTGCTGTATGGGGTGGAGGCCTGGACCTTAAAGAAAGAGGTGAGCGATCGACTTGAAGCATTCGAGATGTGAACCTACCAAAGAATATTAAAAATAAGTTGAGTAGACCAAATGACAAATGTTGAGGTCCTCAGAAAGATGACAAAGGAAATGGAAATCATGAATACGGTTAAGATAAGAAAGTTGCAATATCTCGGCCACGTTATGAGAGGGGATAAATATGTCTTGCTACAAACCATAATGCAGGGAAAAATACAGGGAAAACGAAATATTGGAAGAAGACGCATCTCCTGGCTCAACAATCTCAGAAAGTGGTATAATTGCAGTTCCATTGACTTGTTCAGAGCTGCAACCTCAAAAGTGAAAATAGCTGTGATGATTACCAACCTCCGTAGAGGAGACAGTACCTAAAGAATAATAATCGTAACGCGTGCAGTAACCTTGCGGTAAACATGTTTTTTTATTGAGGATTTGTTTACTCAAGATGGAATGCTGTATTAAAATCTGGTTTACTGTGTAAATACCAAGTTAATTTTTTTACAACTTCAGTGGAATATGATAATCTTCAATTAATAATGGAGTTTTTTTCGACATTCAACTACATATAGGATAAAAGCCGAACAGATTCGCTACTGATAATAACGACATTTTTCGATATAATAATTTTTGTTGAAAGGTGACATATTTGTACTCCGGTACTAGTGGTTCGCATGTAGTATGTCAGAATAATGTGTTTTTTTTTGCGGTTTGTCTTTGTTCAATTGAAAGAATGAGTGAACACACTCATGCCTCATAAGTTTTTCACATAGGTAGAACTGTCTTTAACCCATTTCTTTCCAGTGATACGTCCACAAACCACTCACTTTGCAATTTTTTCCTAAAAACAGTATTTCGAACTATCACATTTTGAGTAAATTTTTGGTTTTTTGTTATCTTCTTCTAACAATAAAAAATTCAGTCATACTCAGTGATACCAAAATAATCAAAATAAGTCAAAATACAGCGGAATGAGAATATTATTCTTTACTATTTTGGGACAGTTATTATCTAAAATAACAACACAATATTATATAGGTATATAGTGTTTTTAAATATCTTTGACTTTCCTCTTGTTCTCTCTCTCTTCTTCTTTGACAACTTTTTAAGGTTACAATAAGTTTACTGGTGCGTTTTTTTACCACTGAGAAGAACCGTGTACTTGATGCAGGTTTACCATAGGTCTGTAAACCCTTTCGTTTTTCAGAAATAATAAACCCAATATGGTTTTTGTTCCATTATAGACTTTTAGATACATATTTTAGTGGAATTTACAATTGAACCAAGTATTGTGGAAGAGTGGGTCGACTAAATCTGGGGTAGCCATTCTACCTTATTCGCCATTGTCCTGCTATCTCAGGACCTCATCTTTGGTAATCATTGATTTTCATCGTGGTTGAAAGGGTCCACGTTTCACATCCGTATGTGATAGTAGTTAACAAAAATAACCTACCTCAGTCTTCATAAAATTAATTGAAGAAAAAAAAATTAAAGGTATTTACCAGCGGTACATAAACGAATCAGTCGTTTTTCTATATAAAAAAATAATTTTTTCCGCAAATCGCCAGGAAATTTTGACATTCCTGTCAAAATTTCTTGAAGAAAAAGTCAGGACTTCCTTACTGTAAGGAAATGTCATTTCCTTACTGTAAGGAAATGATATTTCCGTACAGTTGTTAGTGTTCTACATAAATGATAGAAAACACATTGCTTATAAGGAATTAATTTATATTTCATCTTTAAACAAAGGTCTAGGAAGTATGCCATTACAACATTTTCTGAGAAAGAACTCGTATTTTTACTCATGCGATAATCCATAAAACGTCTGTGTGCATTTTCGTACTTTTCTCTTGATTTCTTTGGCAATAATTCTAATGAAGCAGTATTCACTGCCTCAACCAGCTCTGGAGGAGTCCCAGGAATGGAAATTTCATCATCGCTTATCATTTTACTTTCGAGAACACCAGCAATTAAATTTATAAGCGTCAAGTTTGACAATTCAACCTCAATACGTTTCCATAGTAACCCAAGTAATTTTATTAGGAATTTCAAAGCACCATTTATTTGGGAATAAAATTATCGCGTTTTTTTTTTAAATCAATCAATATCTGTCGAATTTTAAACGATTTGCGGAAAAATAGTATGTTTACCTGGTAGGAAAAGCCACATTCCTGGACTCTGTGTTGCTAAGTCTCGGCTTGCGCCTCGACTTAGCAATCTTCACAGTCGTCCAGGAATGTTAAGCTTTTCCTACCCGGTAAACAATGTACTATTTTTTCATTTTTGTTTTAATTACCCAATATATTGCCAAACACACGTCTTGAAAATATTTCTCTCATTATTAGAGTTACCGGCCATTTATGGGTTAATATAACAGCAAGGAATGCCATAAGGTGTATATAAAATGTACTTAATATGTTATAAATAACTTATTTTTATATAAAAAAAAAACATATGATATCCTTACTTTGGATTTTTTCCAATATGCTTCCACATGACGAAAATAACGGCTGCTCCAATAAGAGAAAATTCTATGATAAATGGATAAAGATAAGGTCCAGCGTCTTCTACAATTGTTCCCATAATATTCAGTCTCCCACAGTAATCGGAATTGTTGCTTGTTCGGTTGTAAGATGATGTAAACGAAAATGCTTGTGGAATGATATCGTTTAGAAATTCCGTTTCATTGTTAGCGACTGTATTGCTAATTTCCGGAAAGAGATCAACAGTTTTATCTTCTGAAAAATCAAAGAGATACAAATTAAATATTAACAGTTTATATGAATAGTAAAACAAAACATAAGATGATTTATAAAGAACCAATACTGTAGCGTTTCAATTTTTTAAGTTTTACCTTTTGACGGTTCTGAATTAAAATTTTTGTGTACAGTTTTTTTATAGAAAACAGTGTGTGTACAGTTTTTACTGTGTCTGAGTTAGAATATTCAAATTTTCCATGAATACGAATACTTCGCTTAAGTGTTAATCCTACACATAATCTCTCTCAAGATTTAATAAGTTCTGGCGTAAATAAGATAAAATTTTTAGATTTTCTCATGTGAACAAAACCACCACTTTCAACATAACCTTATACCCTTATACCTCTCAATATGTAATTAGCTTTGCCCGAACTTCCAAAAGTTATAAAAGCAAGCAATTCGGTTTAATTGTAATAAAGCTCAAATTTTTGTGGTAAGATTGATTATCTATTGTTTATTCATTTAATTTCAATATTAAGAAATATTTTCTTCTTTGTACAGAGTTTCACTGTCAGCTGAACTACGCCGCCCTATTAGTCCGTTTTCTCCATGTTTTTGCACCATTGTTTTAGTCATATGCATCGAGTAAGATCAGATTCTCGACCTAATTTTAAGAAATCATACTTGGTTGCCTACGTCGAAACAGATGTCAAATAGTTCAATGAACGAATTAAATCACTGACCGGATATTAGTAAAAATTAGCAAAGTCTCTAAATGTTGTTAGTTATTTGATTGTTTATACAATATCACCATATGATGTCCATTTATTTGAGTTTTTGTACTAAATTTTTAATACCATTGACAACTACATGTCTTTTTAAGGTAACTATTTAACATCTTCTTCATGAATGTGTGGTTCTCATAATGTAAAATTTTTAGATGAACTGATGATGCTATCAGAATTCGATAGCGAAACGTCTTCAAAATAGATGAAGTAGTATCAACTTTGTCTCTTATTTCTCCACCTAGTAGACCGATATTTGAACCCACCACTCGTCTGAGTGATTCTTATTATATATATATATATATATATATATATATATATATATATATATATATATATATATATATATATATATATATATATATATCCGGTTTTTTAGGCGTTACGCCCGTCCGGTAGAGGAGTATCACCGAGCCGCAAGCCCTTATCTCTTTCCGTACTGCTCCACCATAGGCCGATCAGATCCCAGCATATCCTAGTCTAAGCCGCAGATTCATCTAGAATTTTAAACTGCTGCGTTAGACTTTTTGTTTTCTGTACACCGAGCTGGGGCTCGATCCCACATCCCCTGAACCATTCGACAGTGAAGCGAATGAGAGACAGCCGCACAGCCCGCTGAGCTATCTGACCGACGAGCTAAAGATATACAGACTAAAATAAAAGAATTTTCTATAAAAACATATTGTTAATTTCTGTTTAAGGAGATTACTTATCAGAACCCCCGCTAATGTTAATATTATATTTTCATGTAGCTATCGGCCAATGCTTCCACCTTGATGATATGCAACGTTGTAAAAGTGTACCAGTGTAGTTGAGAAGTTTGAGGAAATTAAGCTATTCTTTACTATTACTCGCAGGAACCCATAATTTCATTGGCTTTAGGTATTCTTTGAGAGATCAACTTTAAGAGCAGTTAAGGTTCCCATCGTAATAATTTTAAATACATATCCAAAATATATGTATATATTTTTATATAAATATATATTTTTAAACTCGATCTAAAAATATAACCGACTTTTGACAAACAGTTTAATATTTAGTTTGTTGATCAAATTTAGTAAATATAAATTAAATTATTTTTTGGTTGACAAGATTTTACTTACCAGAGGCACTGTTTATATTGTCAGCAGTAATGCTGCGTACTAAACTAGAATCGAAGAAGTTTTGGAAAGAGAATGTTGATGAAATAGTAGTTGTAGGCATAGTTGTGCTAGCAGCCGTGGTGAAGGTTGAACTTACAGTAGTACTAGGGGTGGTTGTACTTGTAGTGAAGCGAGTAGTAGTGCTAGGGGTTGTGGTAGTTGTAGTTGTTGTAGATGAAAAACTCGTCGTTATAGCTCTCCAAACTCTAGCTACCGTAGTTCTCGCGAAGTATCTAGGTGTGGTTGGAAACGGAGTTGTGGTTGTAGTTGTAGTTGTGGTTGATGTGGTGGTTGGCATTATCTTCCATAAATTTGCGGGGATGTTCTTTTCTGGCGTTGGCGATGGGAAAGCCCCTAGATAAGAAAATTAATAAAAATTAATTTATATACCTCGAGAATTTTAAATTTTGCTATTAAGTTCCGCCCCATTAGAAGTGATTCATCCTGTATATAAAATGTCAAAACTAATATTAAATATTTACCAAATAGTGACTTATTATAGATCAGATACAGATAATCTGTTTATGTTAGTATTAATTCTGTGATCTGGAATTTATTTTTGCGTAAAGGGTCGGTCTTACATAAAACAATCTATTGGCGCAAATGTCAACACCAAGTGCATGGCTGTTAAACTTCCGTATACCCCGACAAATAACAAACACTGTTTTGTCAATGACAAGCGATGGCGAGTATGGGCGGGACAAGTTTGCTAGAGTTACATGTTGTCAAATCGGAATTGAGGTAATGTAATTCCTAACAATCGTCCAACCCATCTGGTCAGTGTGGAGGATTATGGCCAACAAATCCACTTCGCACAGTAGACAAATACACATGAAGAAGATGGGCGATAAAAGCACAGGAAAGACGCTAGTGGAGCTAATGGGATTCTTACATCTAAAAATATATGGGATAATGCAGTATAGATAATATAGGGATATGTAGATAGACCAAACATTTTCTTGTTATCAGGATGAAAACTTTGGAACAATATTCAAAAGTTTATTTATAAATTTTGATTTTTGAATACCAATCCTGTGTACTCTAGAATCCTATTTTAAAGTTTTTCGGTTTATCGGTAGCCCGAAGCACAAATGAATCTATATTAAAACAGGTAAACATAACAAAAATACTAAGAAAGCAAATATCAAAACAAATAATAGGCTAATTTTGGACATTTTCAAGATAACACTTGCATCACCTGCATCAGGTTAACGATTAAGAAAAAAAAGTTCTTGGCTATTATGTTCGTATTCGTATAAAATTGTATGTTCTGACAAATTTAGCTCAGTATTTTTGTTTTTTATGAGTTAGTATTAAAACAACGTTTAATAAAAAACACTGTTATACTTACAGGGGTTGGGATTGCGTGGAATTGGTCTTAAAGTTGTAATAAATCGATCGAATAAGGACGTAATTGTAGTCGTTATCGGCAAACTAGTAGTCGTTTCCAGAATTCTGTCTGGTACTGCTCTATGTGTTCCAAGTACAGTGTTGGCATTTCGTAGGTTGTGAGCTTTAATGCTTTCTACAAAAGTAACAAATTGATTCATATAATTATTGCCATACACATATGTACGTAAATTAAATAAAAAATTAGGGTTCATTAAACCTTGAATGATTAGTATGATATAGATGAAATACAAGTTCTATCAAATGTAATTACCCAATAATATAGCTAAGTAACAATGAGAAACACGTAAAAATATTTAATTGTTTGTAGAAATTGTTCTAAGCAAATATGAATATCTATATACGAAGTAACGTATTTGATATATGCAGTAACATAGATAAATGGTGTATTGTACTTTACCCAAAGAAATGATATCACTACCACCACAAAAGTGGATGATGCACATTTAGGCTAAACGCACACACACTAGCCGTGAGCTAGGCGCACACACATCGAATTTGGACGGTCGATAAAAGTTCGATCGAACAAATTCCTTTGGTGGCACGAAGAAACAATGTGAGCGTGCACACACATCGATCGCCAAACGGTACGGCATCGATGTCTGTGGCAAAAGATGAACGTCACTGCATAGTAGGGTGGAACGAAAAAGGCCAAAAAAAATAAAATAAAAGAAAAATGATTGTGGCTATCGTTTAAAAGTTGTGTCAGGTAATGAAAACAAACGGTGCGAAAGCATTTTGAAATAAAAAAAAATCTTGAGGTTCCATATTGGATTTGAAAAATGAAAAAAAAAACAAAAAAAAATATTTTTGTTGAAAAAATCGATTTGGCTGTGATCAACAGTCGTCTTTAGGATTGAAAAGCATCTTATGCAAAATTATTTTGAAATTAAACGATGTTTTCAGGTTCCAGAGGCGTCATTTGATAGGGTCAAGGGGGCATTTGCCCCCTCCCCCTGGCCCTGAAAATGACTGAAATTTACAAAAAATAGATCAATTTTGTATTATGTTTACATATATAATGTATGGTATATATAATGCTTGCCCCACCCCCATATCAAAATTTCAAGTGACGCTCCTGTCAGGTTCCATAATGCCATTGAAGCTTGATGGTATGAAGTGTTCCAAACAACGCCAGTTGTAGATCAAGTAGGTAGAGAAGGGAAAAACGCAGACGCAGATGTTACATCAATTTTGCAACCATTCACGCAGGCATAGTGACACAACAGGTAACAGTAATGTTGAGTTTCGTATCTCACACAGATGTGTCGTATATATACATATTTTTCGAAATGTCAACGCGAAGTAGTTTGAACTGTGAAATACTAGGAACAATTATTGGTGTTTTCAATGATCGTGTTTTACCCACTAAGTGTGACATTCTAAAGTGCTTTCTCTTTATTCGTAATGAACTTAAGTTGACAAATAATAATAAAGATCCATCTATCGCCGACGCCTCGAATGGCGTTGCAACGAAAGTAGAACAAATATGGATAAAAGCTTCTATTCCAACATTATCGCATAAGCGCATTCAAGATATGATCAAAAATATTTATACAGAGTATCAAAAGCTGAAGCGATACACAAAAACTCAGCAAGCATCTAATTCATACAAAGAAAAGATTTGCCAGTTTCGAAATGAGTGTGAAAAGTTATTTGATATCGCGGCTTGCAAGTGCAACATGAGTGGAACACTGTGTGAGTGTACTTGTGATAAAACCAAGAAAATAGCAGAAAATGAGCGAATTTTTCTTCAAGATCAACGATCCTGTAGAAAAATGGCAATTGGACCAGTGGATATTGCAGCATCTGCTGCAATAAGGAAGAAAATGGAAAGAACCACGAAGGCAAAGGCAAGTTCTCAAAAATATAATACTGAAAAAATTGTTCTTAAAGCATGTACCGTTGATTCCTCAAATCGTTCCATAAGTAGCAACTTGTCTGACTCAAATTCTTCTGATGCAGATGATCATGAAGAAGAATTCATTGCCCCTTTGTCAACAGTTACAGTCCAACCATCTACGTCACAAATGCAGATTTGCTTGCCAAGTTTAGCTTCGGCGTGCGACAGAACCGGGGTCTCCGATCGTTCTGCTGCAATTATAGCATCAGCGGTCTTAAAAGATATGGGAGTTATAACTGTGACTGATACATCGAAAGTAATTGATAGAATGAAAATAAGGCGACAGCGTGCATCTCATAGACGTTCACTCCAGAAGCAGAAGGAGGGACTGTCAATCAGAAGTATATTTTTTGATGGGCGTAAAGACAAGACTGTCTTGCAACAAAAAAAAGGCAAAAAGTTTTATAGAAAAGTAGTTACAGAAGAACATGTAACAATTGTTGAAGAACCAGGCTCTCGATATCTAGGGCACGTGTCTTCTTTATCAGGATCGGCTGCAAACATCGCGGATAGCATACAGACATTCATCCTGAAAAGTAATATTGATATATCGAAGTTAAGCGCAGTTGGATGCGATGGTACGGTAGTGAACACTAGCCCTTACGTAGGCGTTATAAGAAAACTGGAAGAATACTGCGGCACCTCACTTCAATGGCTAGTATGCTCATTTCATTGCAACGAACTACCTCTACGTCATTTAATACAACAGATGGACGCACCAGTGGACCACTTGGTTTTTCAGGGCCAATAGGAAAACTTCTGGAACGCTGTGAAGAGAAAGCTGTCGTCAATTTCGTTGCAATAGAAAACAACCTACCAGTATTATTAGAAACAACAGACCTTAGTACCGATCAGAAGTACTTGTACCAAATCAGTCAAGCAGTTTCTGCAAGAAAATATCCTAACGATTTGAGCCTTCAAAAACCTGGGAAAATATCACACGCAAGGTGGCTGACAGTTGCTAATCGGTTGCTTCGATTGTGTGTTAGCACTGAATGTCCCAGCCCTCAATTAATTATGTTAGTAAGTTTCATCCAAAAAGTGTATGCACCAGTTTGGTTTTATATAAAACTGTATCCTAGCTGTTCTGATAGTTCGAAACATTTATGGCGAATGATCCATTATTCACGATTTCTACCAGTTGACCAAAGAAAAATTGTCGATGCAGTTATCCAAAGGAATGCTTATTTTGCCCATCCCGAAAATTTATTACTCGGAATGATTAAAGATGAACGAAAACATATACGGGAGCTAGGACTACGCAGAGTGCTGAAAGCTAGACAAAGTCAGAAAGAAAAAAAGATCCGGAGATTTAAAATACCAACATTAAATTTTAGTGCTGAAGATTATATTGACTTAATTTCTATTTCTGAGTGCAGTGTTACGGCTCCGCCTTTGCTAAAACATAGTTCCAATGAAAATGTAAGGGATATGATTGATTCCGGGAATCACAACAAAATAGAGGTCTTATACTGCCCCTGTCATACCCAATCTGTCGAAAGAACTGTTAAGTTAGTAACTGAAGCATCAGCTGCTGTTTATGGATCAGAATCAAGGGATGGCTTTATTCGTTCAAGGTTGCAGTCTAGAAATATTATGCCGTTTTTTAACACAAAATCAGACTACCAATCATAAAATGTATATTGTATCATAAAACAATTATTTTGATTAAAAAAACTAATAAAAAAATAAATTTTTTAAATTTAATTTTTTTTTGTTATTTCCAAAAATTTAAATTCAATATGGAACCTGAAGATAGGGTCAAATCCAAAAAATATTTTTTACAGTTTTATTATACATCAAAACGCAACTTTTCCGCACTAGTCCCAAAAAAAATAATGACTTCGACTTTTTCGTTCCACCCTACTGCATAGTGCATGGATGACTGCCGTGGTCATTGCCGTCATTAGAAGGCGTATAATACCAAATGAACGCGCACACACACACATCGATCTTTATCGACCGACCAGAGGACCAGTTGCTTTTTTTGACATTGCTCAAGGTACGTCGCTCCTTGTAGCTACGTGGTTATGTGTTGTTCATTGTGATTTTGTGTACTCCACCTAACAAACCTTTGTGGATTAAAAAACGCCATCGAATAAATATCGTGTAGTGTGCGTGCGAAGCATCATCGATAAAAGTTCGATCGAACTTTTATCGACCCTCCAAATTCGATGTGTATGCGCATAGCCTATATACAACTGTTTGTTTTGAGAGATAAAACACAACTTTGATTGTGTATGAAATGCATCACCTATGGTGATATTTCGTAGATGGCTGCTCTTTGGCTACAGGCAAAACTGCACTATAGCATTACGTATGTTTAAAAATTACACTTATCTATGCCACAGAATAATAAGCAATCAGAAGGGCCACTCTCAGATGCCGCCTTTGAAGTTTTTCAGCACGCGCGCCATGTTTTAGGAGGACACAGACATATGATTTGTGTGGTTATGTAATTGTTTATATTTATGTTTAATTATATTATATTTATGTTATTATATTTAACAATGTTAATATAATTGTATAGTATGTCTATGATTGCCGTAAGTCAAATAAACCTGGTTAATTTTTCCATACACACCACATAAACAACACTAATTTCTTTAAAATCCTCCTAAAACATGGCGGAACGTCTGCGCGGAGGAGATGCGCGTACTTAATTTTCCGTGGAGAGTGGGTATTCTGTTTGTTTATTATTCTGTGTCTATGCCAAAATGGATCTATGCTGCCATCTACTGTATTTAATTTTAACTAATTTTAGGCAAATGTGACAATATTCGCTTTAAAATTTGCTTATGGCTGGTTAAATAAAATTTTATTGAAAAATATGCAGTTAGGCCACTCCGGTTCTGATGGCATCATATATTCATTGGGTTATTATTCTCGTTTTTACTGTCATAGGAGGATGCGCACTGCTTTATGTTTCCTGTAATGGATAAAATTGTCCTTATAATTTTTCGAATATTATTAGAAATTCATCTACGTTTGTAATTATTGTTCCTATTATATTTTTAACTTCGTTAATTTTTTTTTCTTTTTGTATGCTTCTTTTTCATAAAAAATAAGAACAGAAATCTTAATAATCTTATTTTTTATCTGTGCATATTCATGGTACATTTTAAAATAAAAATAAAAAAACAATTTTACAATAATTTTACTTTAAATATCTTATTTTAAATTTTTGTCAAGTAAATGATGGTTAGAGAACAACTCGCAACGTCGTAACTTCCTTTCTCGGCCCTTATTTTCCATACGGATGACAAGAGCAAACGCACAAAGTTTGCCTGTTAATTTAATAAAGCCCTCTTAATAGGTTATAATTTAATAACACAACATCTCAGGAGTAATTTCTCGTCAAATAGTAAACTTAGTTAGTAAAATTGATTATGAAAACAATAAAGCGAGAAAGTATATTACACTCTACGGACAACAACGGTCTGGAACTCCAGGGACATATCTTAGTATTCATTGCGTGTCTTTTTCCTGATTACAACCAGTAAAGGATCAAATTTCATAAAACATGGTCAAATAATTCTATTAAATATAATGTTTATAATTTTTCATTTTGTATCAATTATCTCAAAATTAAATTGTTCATACTTTTATCATTTTTATCGCTCCCAAGGTTTTTGAATACCGTGGGGTAATATTTTAATGGGTTCTCTCTTATGTCGAAAAAATGAACAGCTTACTCTTACATCATTAACATAGCACATTCTATTACTAGTTCTTCTGAATATAAAGATATAAAAATTCATATTTCACAGTATACCCCAAGCATTTAAAAATCGAAATATTACTGAAGGTTATTTTTCAACTGAGAGTAACTGAAGAAATCAATCGAAAAGGCTTATCATCTCGTGGGTATGAAAATTTTTACTGCGTCTTGGTTTTTAACATTTAAACAAAATAAACGACTTTTAGTAAATATTTTGAAAAAAACTACGCAATATACATGACAACGTTTGCCACAAAAAGTGTCACCAGAAAAAGTTGAGGAAAGAATACCGGGATACACAAATTTGTGCAACAATCGAGGTAAATTCAACAGTAGATTCAACACGTTCAATAGAAGCGTTGCTAGGCAGTTAGATGTTAGCAATGTTACTGTAACGAAGTATGTAAAAATTTTTGAAGCGAATATTGTCACATTTGCCTAAAATTAGTTAAAATTAAATACAGTAGATGGCAGCATAGATCCATTTTGGCATAGATAAGTGTAATTTTTAAACATAGGTAATGCTATAGTGGCCTATGTGAGTTAGACTATTGTAATACCATGTAAAAAATATGACAGACCAGCCCCTCTCCGAACTGCTGGCTGATGGATTACTTTTCTTCCCTCGATAGGACGGTCTTAATGGGCAACCTCAATACCTGACACACCCAATTTAGTGACACGTTTATAGATATTCTAGGCAGAATGCTCTCAGATCTTCTACTCGAGCTGCCCATCTCAAAAATCACCAATATAGAAATCACGTTTTTCAATCACAACATCTATCGTTGACCGTATCCTCTGTACAGATAGTGTACGGGATAAAATCTAGGTAGCCAGATAACCTCTGGCTATCTATATCTACTAATCAAGTTAACACTATACTGGTTTTAACTCGCTACCTCAAACATCAGCTCTTATATAATACAGACCAGATTATCGTAAAGCTAATTGATAACTTTTCCAAAAGTTTATCGAGTGACAGAGTTAAGTAACATGTCAACAACCAACCAGACTAACACAGTGATTTCTAAAGTTACAAATCTTCTCCAAGAAGCTTTATCCCTAGCCATAAATAACTACAATAAAAATTAATCCATATACTCCAATTCAATCCGAAAGTATAAAAGATTCCGAGATTTATGCATCAAAATCGAATACAACCGACTCTTAGACTCCATAAGACCAGAGCTTAATAAGTTCAAACAAGAACAGTGAAAACGAAGTAACTCTATACTAGACCACAGAAAAGGTTTAAAATTCTAGAACAAATTAAAAACCTCAACCAAAGCACCACTCTCATCTCAAAGTAAACAACATTATAATATTCATTCTACAAAATAAAACCGACCAAAATAAAACACACCCCAGGAAACTTTTATCACCCCAAATAAACCCAAATTTTAAAAAGTTGTCTAAACTGGATACTGAGAGGAGACTGAAAGATATACTATACTACCCCCACAGCACTTTGCAAATAGTAAAATTCAACATCCGATTATGTCTCCTGTTCAGGAGGACATAGACAGATGTGTACACGTCTCCTGGCCCAGATTGTATATATAGGAGATGCCTCAAAAATCTCTCAAAGAGTATCATCCCGCTGCTTACCAACATAATTAACGCATGGCTCTTACTGAATTAATTTCCTACCCCATGGACAGTAACCAGTACAATCAATATTCCCAAACCAGGAAAACCCAGGGAAACCAGCACTAAATCATATAGATCAATATCTCTACTTACTACTATAGGTAAAGTCTCCAAGAAGATTCTTATCTTCCTTAACTTCATATCAAAATTCAAATTCGGATTCAACGCTGGAAACACCTCTCAAAATGAATTTACTGAAACAACAACCCTCAGTTCACTCACAATAAACGAGGGCAAAATGCAAAATAGCCATTGGCATATTCCTAGACGTCCAGAAGGCATTCCATCAAGTCTGGTATGCAGGTTTAATCGAAAAACATCGCCTTACTGGACTGCTTACGACATTTCTAGAAGCAATACAATTGTATCTCTCCAATCGGACCATCCACGTTAAAACCACGGATACCCCCCCAGATACTGGACTACTTTCCTCAGAAACTCTCGACGGGACGTGAAGAAATTCATCTGTATTCAATAAGATCCGAGCGCAACTAGAATGTTAAATGATGCAACAAATGGAGGGTTACTCTTAATCCATCAAAAACATAAGCCATCCTCTTCAGATATCCAGGCACCCACGATATTAAGAGGAGAGCAACCGGAGCTCTATGGAGAAAGCCTTCCATTCAAAAATCGGTATTCTATTTGGATATTCAATTTTAGAGGAATCTTAACTGGGACATTTGGTTAAACCTCACCCTAGAAAGGGTAAAAAGAAGAGCTAATCTCCTTGGAGCTCAGGTTAACTCGGTAACACTCACTATAAAACTCACCTGCACACTTATTTATAATGCCAATTGTTGAATACATGGCGGAACTATACTTAATAACTGCCAAGGTAGTGCCAAAATGGCAACGGAACGCAAAATTTTAAGGAAAATCACGAGGAAAAGTGCAGGCTATCCGTTGGCGTTATTCCACCAACTGGCCGATGTACATACGAACAATAGATAGCTCCAAATTTTGAGCAAAAGAGGTCCTCAACATATCATTTTATTGCCTAGGGAAAATACTCCAGATCAGACAGCAGATTCAAAAAAAGTTTCTTTCCTCTTAACCAAACTTCTCAACTTGGCCTAAAACGAGCTTCCTCCTGATGAATGTTTCGACGTCTCAGAAGCAACGCTCCACAAAAATATCGAAAATATTAATAACCTATAAGGCAACAAATCTGAATCAAAGAGCCGTTCCTATAGTATAGCTGGTAACACGCGAAGGTACCGTACATGACGACGAGGCTAACAACTCTTTCTTAACCAACAAATTCTGACACTGCTTCTTAGTAATCCACTCATCTCCATAACACTCCGGTAATATCAAAAACATCTCTCCAAATACTAACCAAAAAACACTCAAAACACAGACGAACTGGTCAAGTTAAAACAAAAAGGATATCCAAAAATAAAATGAAACTAAAGGCCAGCAATATATTAATTCTAAAGGTACGTTATTACCATCTAAACAGTAATACAGATGTTCCTTAAAGTGTAAGCAGAAATGCCATGACAAAATCGGAGCTGTACAACAGAAGCTTGTTTTTGATAGATTTTATGCAATGGAGAACTTTGACTTTCAATCATTATATCTGTTTTCTTATGTAAAAGAATTATCTAAAAACATGCTGTTCAACCACCAATCGTGAAAGTATAGAATCCAGACGCTCCAATAGCAGAGTGACGGACAATTTTTTTAATTCAGACGTCCCACCACAGTATGTAAAACTAAAAAAAAAATATTTTTTTAAAAAAAGAATTTAAATCTGTTGACCCCTCACTGCTCAAGCGAATATGTTTGGTATCAGTCGATAGATTTTTGAAAAATATTGAACACGTGTTTTCAGTTTTTTGTTTCGATGTTTAAGTTACGAAATATTTGACCATCTCGCTTCTTTTAACACACCTATATAATCATAACAACATTATTTGAGTGAAATTAGTTTAATAATTTGAGGTTTCTGTAAGTAACAAATCAGGTAAATGGTAAATAAAGTTAAATGTAATAATAAACATATTTATTTTAAATTGACAATAATCTTTATCACCCTTGTAATATTCCTCCTAATTAAAATAATAATATTGACTTACCTCCTAATGATGTTTCGCTAGATATGTTGGTGGCATTGAAGTATTTTAGATGGTACTTCGTAATATCCTTCAAATATTCGATGAAGAACGTTCGAATCCATACACAAATATTCGTGGCTACAATATGCATTAAACCAAATCGTGCAATTACTTTAAATCGATGAATGTTTAACTGAAAAAAAAAAATAAACATTTTTTTATTTTTATGTGTTAAAATACTCCAGTTCTCAAAGAAGAAAATGCAACTGAACCTCTAAGTCATACGAACAAGCTACCCCGGCTTCCCACTAAAACTTCCCTTCATAGGGAGGTAGGGAGGGCGGAAAAATCGATTTACGGAAAATATGTACGCCGTAAAAAAATATTTCAAATAAAAAGTGTAGCTGAGATAATTATTAAATAAAAATGTTTATTAGCACTTTTTGTATAGAATAAACCGTTCTCTCAGAAACAACGCTTGAAGCGACAGGCGATTTTGAATGTCAGTTACGAACGCTAAATAGATTTTAAATAACATTTGTATCAACTCGACAATAAAAAGTGTCTTATCACAAAAATCAAAATGCGTTTTAAAGGTGAAGAGTGCAGCTTTTGTAAGGTAGTGACGCCAAATAAGGCCAGTGTCTTAATATGGCCAATTGTAACTATTTCCTTAAATATAGATATAATATACTATATGCCACTGTAAATCGTTTTCCCAGTCAAAATCGTCTACGCCATTCAGTCGGTAGTATCAAACAGCAGCACGAAGTATACTAGACACGTGTTTACTACGGTGCCGAAGTTCGGTTATAAATTTTAGGTAAGTTATAAAATCACTATAAAGTTACTTAAATAATATATACCAAATATTCTTTCTTTGTAAAGCAGTAGAAAATTAATACTCTTTTAGAAACTGGTACTGTTTTTTCGCTTTATTGCTTTTTATTGTTGTTTTTTATGTTCAATAGAAAAGTAAACAGTGCCCTAATACCGAGTAATAACAACGAGTTAAACCAGAATGTTATTGTAATCTTCCAGCAGAAACAACAATTAAAATGACCAAAAAAGGAAGCATAACAGCAGATGCATTTATATAGTGGTTAGATCACTACTGTCGATTCAAAAATTCTGGACCAGCCCTTTTAATTTTTGATGGAGCTTCATCTTATTTAGACATTAGAATTGTAGAAGCTGCAATAAAAAAAGATGTAACTCTTGTCTTCCGTGCAACACCACTCATGAGCTTTAACCACTCGATAAAGCAGTCTTCAGGAGTTTTGAGTCTTCCCGGGATGAGAAGGTATTAAATTTTTGGGTGAACCATAATAACGAACGTACCATTAACTGAGCAAGATTTAGGCAAATATTTACGCTGGTTTGGAAAAACGCAATAACGCAAAAAAATATTTGTTCTGAATTTGAAGCAACTGGAATATGGCCATTCAATCCAAATGCTATTCCGGATGCTGCCTTTGCACCTAGTTGTCTGACACAACGAGAGATTGAAACAATCGCCGAAAATTTTCAAGAAAATCCTACAACCCAACCAGTAATTAAAACAACTTTCAAAAAGAATACAAATTTTGAAGAACAGCTATCCTGCAGCGGTGTAAACAAATATAATAAAAGCAAAGCATTATCGAGCAGTGAGAAAAGGAAAATTACCAAAAAAAAAGAACTCACCAAAGTTTTTCATACTTAATCTCAGATGAAGACAGTGGCTCATCTGGGTCTTACACAAGTGGTAAAGCTTCCAGCGAGGATTATAGTGATGCAGTTTATACGTCAAATAAATATGATAAAAATAAAGTTGCAAAAATAAGTGAGACTGAGCCATGTGAAGAACTAAATGCAAGTTTTAGTTCCAGTGGATTACTGATTACACCGGATTTCAAAGTACCAACAAAAAAACGTCGGCAGGCCATTAATGCGAAAGCACAAGAAGTTACCAGAGATTTATTTAGTGCACAATCTTATAGCTCAGCAAAATCAAAACCGAATTTAAAAAAAGATTCATGGTACTGTTTTTTGTGTGATGAAGATAGAGTGGCTGATATGCGCAAGTGTGTTTGTTGTAATAAGTATATCCACGAGGAATGTATAGGTTAACAAAAAACGACAAGAATATATTTGTATGTTCTCGTAAATATGCGATATATGTACCTACTTAATGTATTGACAAGTTCTTGTTTTTAATATGAGTAAACGTTTATTTCACTAACTTTAAATTTATTCTTTAATTCTTAGGTTTAAAATTTCTTAGCCACGTAAATTTCCTTCAAAAATGAAACTGGCCTTATTAAGTTACCAGTTCCAAATAAGGCCAAATATTCAAGATTTATTGAATGTTAAAATTTTATATTTCTTTATTTATTTATTAAGTATTTTATCGAAAAATTCGATAGCTAAAGTGTTAGGCAATACGTATACAAGACTTTTCCCCCCATATTTTTGCTGAATAAAATATTACAGACATTTAAACTTTAACGTGGCCTTAATTGGCGTCCTTACCTTATTCAATTTTTGTATTTTGTCGCAAATCAAGTAAGTTTTTAAAAAGATGTTAAATAAATAAACATTGCAAGGATTTTTTTTATTGTTTATGATTCTAATAAGATCCATAAAATCTATCACTTTTCATTATTAGATCCTAATCTTCAAAATGTATAGCATACAATTTCGATTTGGACTTCTGACAACAAATTTTGAGACATTTGAATTATACCTAAAAAACTTTTAATTTAAACTTTCATATTACATATGATCTAAAACGTTTTTCGAAACTGCACAATTTCCTACAAACTTCATTCAATGCCGCCATGGTGGAGGTTTTCTTCGTGACGTGTCATCATTTGTAGGTTAAAAGTTTAAATTCTGCGTTTTTTAAGCATATTTAAAATGACTTGCTACAATAAATCGGTAGAGAAACTTATCCATTTTCGACTTCATCCAAACTGAACGTGTGTTGTCTACTTTAAATTTCCTGTGCAGCTTTTTGATGCTGTCAAACTTTCTTTGGCTACTGAGCGTTCTTGTTAGGAACATACCAGTAATGTTTATTAACTTTTTCGTTAAAATTTTGTTTAACAAAATATTTATTGTGCTTGTCAATGTTAGAAAACTTAAATTCGTCAAAACTTCTTCTTCTAAATGTGCCGACCTTCTAGAGATTTTGGCGACCACATTGACCCATCTTATTCTATTCACACCAGCTCGAAATAGATCAGTTAACGTTAGACCAGTCCATTTCGTAAGATTTGCCACCCAGGATGTACGTCTGCATCCAGGGCCTCTCTTACCCTCAATATTGCCCTGTAGAATAAACTGTAGAAGTCGGTATTTGTCAGTACGCATGATGTGGCCGAAGTAAGCCAATTTTCTATTTTTTATGGTGTTAATAATTTCTTTGTCTTTTCTTAGCCTCTGGAGAATAATGTTACTTGTGTCTTGTGTGGTCTCCGTTCGGCTCGCGGACATAACAATACGGCCGAGGCCAGAAGACCCTGCCTGTCGTAAGAGGCGACTATTTGAAGGTAATAAGAGGTGGAGAGCCGTCGTTCGAGGTGTCGGGTTTGTAAAAACGCACTTGGGATGCTAGACATGTCGGTCGCCGGTCTACACTCCTAGAATCCGAACCGAGTCTCTGGTGGGACCACTTTACTCTCATTCCACAAGAGCCAGGTGAGGTTGAACGATCTGGGCCTGTATATACCTCTCACGGCCTTACACGACCGAGGTTGGTGTCGGTGTCCCGGCACGTACCCACCTGGATGATTTAAGAGTGATAGAGGAGTGATCTTTGGCGGCGACCTGTCTGCTAGGTGGAATTCGTCCGCCTGTGTCATCTTTCCGCCTCCGGGGTGGGGGGAAATCTCCGACGGGTGACGTACCCGCAACACAGGTACTACGAGGAAGGTGAAGCCCCACGATGTTTTGACATTGTGCCACCTTCATTTGGTGTCGGACTTGTAGAGACAATAGAGTCGCTAACGGTCGTATGTCCAAAGGCCAGGTAGACCAGGATCCTGCCAAATTTATATTTGGAGGGATACAAATCACGCTATGTCTTGTTTGGTGTATCTATGAGACCCTTAACATTACGTCGGTAGCACCACATTTCAAATCTATCATGTCAAAATCTATGTCAAAACTAATAAATTCAATATTTTCAATATGCTTCTAGCCACTGCTCCTTTGCTTCTCTAGAATTTTTTAAAACAAATTTATATAAACTTAATTAACCTACAATCTTTGCTCACTTCCTTAAAAAAAAAAACAAAATAGATAGGTAATTAAAATTTTGTAACACCCGCTGTATGATACAGAAATCTACTTACCCTTGAATTCATAAAGATGAAATACATTTGCATGAAGGTGAAAATCATTTGTAACGTAGGATTTACTCCTCTGAGAATCATGTAACACGGAGAATCGAATGGTATTTCGAAAAATCCTCCAAATTCTAAACCAATATAAATCATCGTTCCTAATCCAAAAGCTGAAATAAAAATTAATATCACCCATTTTATTTTCAAAACAGTTCTAAGGATTCAATAAATAAAAGAAAATTAAAATTTTACATAATAAAATAGTACATTTCATATCAGAAACCTAAGAAATATCTGAACAAGACACTACATTTAATGTACATATTTACATATTAATATCTTCGCTGTCCATATTGAACAAAAAACACATGGCTGGTACCACGTACTTAAAAACTCCATGCCGCCTCTTCTTTACTGATGAACGGTAATGGTACAGTGACACTCCTGTCACTGTCCTGATGATTAAAATATCAACAAAATCGTCCAAACTGTATTTATTGTGTGTAAAAATGACAGGTATTATATTTTAAAAATCAGAAAAAAAGTTTATTTGCAACTGATCAAAAAAATAAAAAAAAATTATTCCGTTGGAGCACAATGCAAAACAAGGCTCTAAACATAGCCCTGGTGGGTCTGGACATTTTCTGCAGTAATACGTAGCATCTTGGGAATTCGCTGCTTTGAACACCAATGTTATCGTTTTCACAGTTTCCTTCCATTTTTACCCGTTTAGCACTTCGAAGGGGGGTGTAGCTCTGGTTCTTCTTCTCCATTTGCATGTTTTGTTTCCCGTCGGTTAAGTCGTCATCCAACAACTAAACTTATATGATTGATTGTCGAAAATCAAGAAATGACATCTTTGGTGCCGGGTATTTATTATGCAACAAATGATGTGATTACCGACTATTTTGTACCAACAAGTGGTGTACCTATGCGATGAATAATATGCTCAGCATCCGATCTTGGAGATTAATGACCGACATATATTTGTTATACTAACTTACGAGTGTCGGTTTATTTCTTATATTTCCAGACTTGGAGATGACTCCAGCCATGGTATTAGCATGCTCTGTAGACATATAAAGAACTTCTCGTTATTCTTTCCAATTTTCTACACATACATATACCTCCCACATTAAGTTTAATCGATTCTCCTGTTTTCCCTTTCATTTGCCTTACCTAGTTCGACCGGCGTTTCTTTTCGTCCTGATCATTGAGTTCCCGTACACTAGTTATTCATCTCTAACAACTGTTTTGCGAGACCTACCGAATTATAAAAAATACCCATATACAGGCTATGGCCCTTATAAGGTAGTTGCTCATGAAGTAAAGTGAAATATTCGAAGCGTGTCCTTTTCCTCACGTGTTTCTCACGATTTACTTAAATCTAAGCCTTGATTACTGTTCCATTGCTTTCTGTTAGCAAGTAACATTTTACGCGATATTTATGTTTTTATTCTTTTTATATTGACGAAACAGAAGGCAACATCGCCATAACATGATAGATTCGTCATAAACATTTTTTTCATAGTGTTATATATAGCTGATATTCTGTTATTAAAAAGTGCAGTAATGGTCGAACTATGTTAAATAATAGATAGGGACAGCCTTACCTACTTGAAGGTTTTGAGCAAAACGGAGACACCATAAAATGATGATGATGATGATCATGAATCTATTCCTACCCCTAAACTTTTTTATTCTAACTAGTCCTAATTGATGTATCCCCATAAAAGGCGTGATGGCCCCAAAAACACTGACATTTCTCGCCTAGCAACAGGTTTCTAACGATTTATCTTTGAATGAGACCTTGGATTAGGATCGTTCATGAAGATGTACTCAGCATAAGAGTGCGTCTCTCTGAGTAGCATTGAGGGTACTCAATATTTGGTGGTCCAGGGAACTGGATCCTTCAAAAATTAGGTGGATTCTCCACCCATTGCAAATTTGTATGAACTACTTGCGGTTTTTCAGGAACTATAGGTTCGGTTTCTGGTTCAGGGATATCTTTTGAAAATACTCCGACCTAATTTTCAGCACCACTTCACTTTTCTACATCCTCTTCCTTGTTATAAGCAATTCTGCTTGTTACTTGGCGCAATAATACGTCTATGGAAAGTTGTCACTCCATCTTTTGAGCGATCGTATGATACTTCTTCTGCCGATTGGTGACTTATTTTTTGCTATTTTGAGACAAGGATCTCCTTTATTCTGCTTATGTAGTTATTCCATTCTTTTTTCTATTTTGTGTCCATTCGTCTCTACACTGTATGTTACATTTACTTCTAATATCTTCGCTTCTCTTTAGATCTCTCAACGTATTTCCTGTAGTTATTTTTATTACTCTCATCTCTGCCGTTTCCAGTAGCATTTGTGTTGCGGCTGTGTCAGGTCTTGTTTCTGCGGCATATGTCAATATTATTCTTACACTGGCTTTATAAGTTCTTGGCCTCATCTCAGTGTTAATGTGTCTATTTCGCAATATAGTTTTATTAAGGCATCCTGCTGTTTTATTAAGGCATTTTGCTGTATTTATTGACTATGAAAAGGCCTTTAATCGAGTACAGCATCACAAATTAATTACAAGATTAAAAGATAAAGGAGTTGATAGTTAAGACACACGATTCATAGAAAAGTTATACTGGCGTCAAACAGCGACAGCTTGCATAAACGGAAAATCAACAGAATAATGTAAAATATAAAGAGGTGTCAGACAGGGTTGTATACTATCCCCACTGTTATTTAATTTATATTCAGATAGAATATTTAAAGAAGCGCTGCATAATTTGAAATGGGGCGTGAAAGTTAATGGAATTCTGATAAATACAATCAGATATGCAGACGATTCAGTTATTTTAAGTGATGACATGAATGGATTATAATGCTTTTTAAATGCCGTTGATACAGTGGGGAGAGAGTTTGGTCTAAACATAAACTGTTCAAAAACAAAACACATGGTGTTTAGCCGTTTAGCACATTAAGATGCACAATTATATGTTGATGGTCATATAATTCAAAGAGTGTCCAGTTTTAAATATCTTGGTTGCCATATTACTGAACAACTAGATCCAGATCAAGAGATAAAATGTAGAATCGAGATAGCCCGCACAACATTTTTAAAAATGAGGTCATTCTTCTGTAATGATAACTTGAAACTTCAACTTCGAAAGCGTATGGTTAAGTGCTACATTTGGTCAGTCCTCTTATATGGTGTCGAAGCATGGACATTAAAAATATCCACCATTAATCGTCTGGAGGCCTTTGAAATGTGGCTGCACAGACGTATACTAAAAATTCCATGGACGGCTATGCTGACAAATGTGGCAGTCCTTGAGAGAGCAAATGCTGCTCGCGAGCTGCTTGATTGACGCAGAGGAATTGGTAGAAAGCAGGCCTCTTGGTTGAAGAATATCAGAGAGTGGACAGGAATAAAGAAAGCTGAGCAACTCTTTAGAATAGCACGAGATAGAGACAGTTTCGCCATGTTAATCGCCATCGTCAAGGGGACTTGAGAGGGCACGTTAAGAAGAAGAAGGCATCCTGCCAGTCTATTTGCTTTTTGTACTTAATCTCTCTTTTCTTTGTCTAGGTCTCCATAGCTGGATAGTGTAATTCCAAGGTATTTTATTTTCATCACTTGTTCAATAGTGATGCCATCAATTTCAATTTTACATCGTTTGTTCTTTGCTAACTACTATTGTTTTAGTTTTCTGAGATGAGATTGTCATATTAAATTCTTTTGTTCTTATATTAAATCTGTGGACCAGTCTTTGCAGACTATCTTTATCTTGGGCTATTAATATTGCGTCGTCTGCGTAATAGAGTATTTTCTGCTCTGTTTTCTTCTTCTTCTTTATTCTTCATTGTACATCATCTTCCTTTGTTAACGTTTTTGATGATTTCATTTATGATTAAATTGAAGAGCATGGGGCTCAATGAGTTCCCTTATGCAGGAGGTTTTCAGAAATAGATGTCTGAGAACAATCTTTAATATATTGCGCCCTACACTTATATATAACATAGGGCTTGATCAAATAAACAAAATATTAGAAACCAAATAACATTTTTGGTACCTAGGACACACTCCAAAGGGACTTTTAGATCTGAATAACGATAGATGTGAACCTTGTTTGATTCGAAATTGAAACTGTCGAATACTTATTGCAGAAACTGGGATGGTACTCTACTTTTGACTCTATGACAGAATAATTTAGTAGTAAAATGAATATACAACAAGTCATTCTTTTACAATAATTGCTTTTCTGAATTTTTTTCTTGCTCTAATATAATGGAATCAATTTTACAAGCACTTCTTTCGAAATCGGCAGGCTTCATTATATTAAAAATTCGAAACCTGTGCTGGATTCTTAATATTAAGTCAGATATTATCTGATGGTACACACATAGAATGTTTATTCTTTTTTTTTTCATTTTTTTAGATGTATTCTTTGCAAAGAACGCTTTGCAAAAAAAGACAATACTGATAGAAGTGTCAAGTATTTGCAAATGTATGTCTTTTGTTCGACATTTATGTACAGAAATAAGTATCAAACGAAAACGCGTACCTCAGGAAATAACAAAAATAAAATTCCAAAAATCTTACAATGAAACCACCAAGGCAGAAGATAATAAGGACGATCGTAGAAAATATGAATCAGAATTACCCAAGCAAAAGCTAATACTATAAGACTAAGGCTTATCAGTCTAACCTTAAGACTCTTAGACTGATAACCCATATTGGTAGAGGTTGTAAGATCTAAATTGTAAAATTTTTAGTAATCAATTTTTAGTTCAAATTTCTTTTAGACATGTTTTTCGGACCTTTTTTTATAATAAAAAAATATTTACACTTTATAGATATACATACCTATAGCTCCAATCCTTAAAAAGAAACTTCCATGGCTATGGTCGTTCTGCGAAGTCTTGCGCTTGCATTTGCTCTTCGAATCTGAGCTGGACTCACCTGCTTCCGCATCGGCAGCCGGAGTCGACTGACGAGAAACTGGCTGAGTAGCTGAACCACCAGTGGCGGCGGGCGCAGCAGGAGCGGCAGGAGGCTGTTCCTGCGATACAACAGTAGCAGCTTGAGATTGAGTAATTTCTTCTACAGGCACAGGCACGGCTGCCAGGCCTGCGTCAACCACCCCTTCAGAGTTGCGCCGGTAGGTGCTCTACCCCCACAAATCAAAAGTAAATAATAAAAATGGTGAATAATTTTAGCAGTCAGGAAGAAGGGTCCCAGAACTACATCAATTGGGGCGCTATATTTATTGGCGCTTCCAAATTTATTCTTTTACGATCTATACTTATATCCAAACGATGTGAGAAAGGAATTTTACGCAGGTGTGAATAAATGCTTCCAGCTGATACAAATATTTTATTAGTATGTTCTATTTCAACAGCAGCTAACTAGGCAACATTTTATTAAATTTTTTTAATTTGAAGTTTATCACGCTAAAATATACCTAAACAAAATGAGCAAATACAAGCAACAAGGCAACAATTGATTGTCAGAACAGCATGCAACAACCTTCTTATAATGAATATTGTTATTTCTATTGAACATATTGCCTAACTTTATTAATATTGTTAATACATACAACCCTATATGCCAAGCCAGTAGATGCGTGAGCATTTTCATTTTGTTTAAATACATTTTAGTTTTGCCTTTAGTTGTTTAATATTTATTATTTTTGCTTATTATTATTATTTTATATATATTTATTACAATGGTATTCGAATATTATTAATAAAGAAATAAATGAATTATTTTGCGTTTATCCATAAATATTTTGCTTTTTTTTCTTAACGTGCTACAATTTAAAATATTATGATTCACTGGAGACAAACCAAGAAAAAAACAATAATAGAAAGAGTTAAAAGGATAAAATTAAATTAAACTGAAGAAAAACTGTTGTTCATAGTAAAACAGGTCTTTTCAAGTAACATTTCTTTAGCAGGATCAAAGAAACCGAAGCGGATAAACATACCGCTAAGTTATTATAAAAATTTATTTAAAAAAAGAAAAATAGAAGAAATTTTGGTATTTATAACGTACAGAATAGACATTTCTATCTTGTATCTTACTACATTAATTTACCAGCAGAATGATAAAAGAAAATAATAGAAAAATACAAGAAATAAAAATAGAAGAAGTAATGCAGAACAACAAAAATATAAAATGCTGAAGACCGAAATTAGGTAAGTTTGAAATAAACAAAATAAAAGATGTACGGAGTAGAAACAAACATTAAAGATGACATCATAAATATAGTCCACCATTTCTACTCAGAATTATATTAAACAAAAAAGGAACCTCTAGAAGAAATTAAAAACCAACTAAGGCTAAAATAAAAAATGTCAGCTCAGAGCTACAGCCAGAAATAAGTAAATAAGAAATGAAGAAAGCATTGAAAGAAATGAAAAACAACAAATCGCCTGGAAAAGGTGGAATAACTGCAGAGATGCTGAAATATGGTGGTAAAGTGGTAATTAATACTCTGCATTCCCTTTTTAACAAGGTATTAAAAGAAAAAAGAATCGCAAACAACTGGAAGGAATCCGTAACCATTATCCTACACAAGAAAGGGGATAAAGCAGACATAAAAAACTACCGTCCTATAATATTCCTCTATGTAATGTATAAACTCCTAACAAAAATTTTATCCAATAGATTGACGACAAAATTCGACGGACGGTCGAAAGAACAAGCTGGTTTTAGAAAGGGATTCAGCACAAGTGACCATTTACTAAGTATGAAAATACTTATAGAACTAGAAAAATAAATACCACCAAAAAGTATACATCCTAGTATTCGGTTTCAATTTCAAACATCAATTTCCTACTCAACCTGAAGGCAAAGTATCAGCCCCTGATTACACGAAAGCTTTTCTTGCTTACATCAAAGGTGTCACTGACAAAATTGAACAAATCCTTAAATCAAGTGAAATATAGACAATATTTCATCATCATCATCAATTAGCCTATGTTTGTCCACTGCTGAACGTAGGCTTCCCGTAAAATTTTCCACCTATTTCTGTCTTGAGCTTCTTGCATCCAGTTTGTGGTGATGTGCTTGATATCATCCGTCCATCTAGTCGGTGGTCGTCCTCTGCTTCGATATGCATCTTGCCTTGGTTGCCATTCCAGAATCTGTTTGGTCCATCTGTCATCCGTTAATCTGGCAACATATCCGGCCCAAGCCCATTTAGCCCTGGCTATTTTTTCAACTGCATCTGTGACTCCTGTTCTTCTTCTTATTTCTAGGTTTGGTACTTTATCTCTGATGGTAATACCTAAGATCTTTCCATAGCGCGTTGTGTAAATCTTATTTTATCTATTGTTCTTTTTGTTACAGTCAGTGTTTCTGCACCATATGTAAGAACCGGTAAAACGCACTGGTTAAAAACCTTTCTCTTTAAATAAACTGGGATACTATACTTGAAAATGTTATTCAATCTACCAAAAGCAGCCCATGTGAGACCTACCCTTCTTTGTATTTCAGTTGTCTGATTATCTCGGCCTAGGCGAATCTCATGCCCTAGATATTTGTAAGCTATTACTTGGTAGATGCTATGGCTCGACAATAGACAATATTTACCCTCCAACAAACAGTACATCTCTTGTCCGATCAACCAAAGGCAAAATTCCAAGAACACGAAGTTTATGAAATTTCTTGTGCAGATTGCCCCCGATCCTGTATAGGCCAAACAAATCGTAGAATCCAAAATATAATTTATGAACATTTCATTTTGGTTCGCAACTCCGGTTCAATTTCAGCTCTAGGTCAGAACCTAGGAATAATTATCCGAGAAGCCATAGAGATTTAAAAAAGCTAAATTGTCTCAATAAAAGCGATGACGACATCCGGTTACCTTCGACATGGAGACCTCTTATAAAGAAAATATCGTCCGCTCCACATTCCAATTAAAATTCCGTCATCAGAAATATTCGCACCAACTTCCACCCACATTTACCTTGGTATATCTGAATTTTACAAAACTTCGTATATCTGAATTAGGAATAACAAGTTTTTTAGACTTAGAAAGTACTTTTACGACTATACTTTAGGCATAGATAAAATATATGGCATTAGTTGTGCTATGTGTCATTGTACTTGCCTGCCAAGTTTAATGAAAATCGTCTTTTTTGTTTCAAAGATATTGACTTACTTTAGTTCCATACTTTATCTCAACCCTGTATATATATATATATATATATATATATATATATATATATATATATATATATGTGTGTGTGTGTGTGTGTGTGTGTGTGTGTGTTCGTTCTTTGTGCAGCAACTATTCATGCCAAAATAAAAGAACGTCGTATCAAATTCCTGAAATGAGCTAATTGGACTAATTGGAAGATACGGGTCGAACGTTGTTACAGCTCTGTAATTATCGGAAAACCTGATATGTACTTTACGAAATTCAATAATTGTCAATTAGTGGAATATGTTTTTGGAGATTTAAAATTTTTTATGATTCAAATTTGATCGAAAGTAAAACATTTTTGATTGTTAAAAATTTTGCTTAAAAAATCTTTAATCGTAATATTTTACGATGCTGATTGACATACAAATCAATAAATATTCCTCAGAAATTGATGTTAAAATTAGCATATTCTCAGTATAGCCTACGGCACAATTAACAAGAATCACTTAAAGTGTGTGTGTGTGTGTGTGTGTGTGTGTGTGTGTGTGTGTTGTGGTCTTGATAGCCATACATAGTTCATAGAACCTACCCTAGCGAACCATACGAGGGTAATTAGGAGCAATCAAGTGTTAAATTATGCAACCCCAAGTAAGCTTATCAGCGGAGAATGTAGTGCAAATAGGTAGACTTACTGAATACTCAAAGGTCTGTGAAATTTTATTACGGCGTACAAAAGTGAATCAAAGTGAGTCAATTGTAGCACGTAAAGGAAGATGATAAAAATATTGGTAATATAAGGTTGTATTATTATATAAAATTAGATGTTGTAGAACAAAATTTAAATAGATAAACTTCCTTTTTAAAATATGGTTATATCTTATTTATTGCCGTATTTTACCATTTTAAAACATAGCCAATAATATTGAATCACTGAAAATTAGTTTTTTTTTTCTAAAAAGGCTAAAAAAAATATTACAGTAGAAGAAATAGAATTTCATGTATAGTAAGTGATAAAGTACGTTATAAAACTCGAACATTTCATCTGCATCTGTAGAAAAACTGTTCCCCTACACCAATATATAACAGAAATAACAATTTTTAGATCCTGATCAAGTAACAAATGGATCTTCAAAACGGATAATAGGTAACAGATAATTTCTTAGAAACCTAGATCTGTTTGCATTTTAGGTTGCATTTTTTTTTTAGGTTGCATTGTGAATAGGTCTATGAGTGATACGAATTATATATACCTACAATTAAAAATACTACTACTGGGAAGGCAAATGAAGAAGGGGAGTTGCTTACAGAATTGCTAAGTTCACAACCAATACATTTATAAATATAACGCTACATTTTTGTATGCATCGTAACAAATGACACCAATATTAAACCAAAAGAATATCTGCTGTCTATATTCGCTGCGATATATTCAATAGATGGGTGAAATACTTTAACCAGGAATTTAATATAGAGGAAGAAGAAAAACACCTGGAACACGAAAGCGATGAGGTACGGGGAATAGACGAGAGGGAAGAGCAACCACCAACGATTCTTGAAGTTAAAGATACAGTTAAAAAACTAGCAAGAAACAAATCACCTGAAATAGATAATCTTACAGCTGAACTATATAAAGAAGGTGGTCACGATATCATAATATAATAACATCAGTTTATAAAAGAAATATGGACACAGAAATCCTTTCTCAATGATTGGAATATTGGAATACTTTGCACCATTCACAAAAAAATGAGATATCTTTGAATGCTCTAACCACAGAGGAAAACGATTCTAAATGCAGCATATAAAATATTTTTCACAATACTATGTCACTATATGCAGAACGGATAGTAGGAATATACCAGGCTGGTTTCAGAGGTGGTAAATCGACAATTCATCAGATTGCAACC